TAAGACAAATAATTAACTATGAGAAAAGCTCTTGTTAATGAACTCAGAGTACTGAACTAGCCAGGTGGAAGACAAAGGTCTCAGAACTCTTCAGTACGTAAAACCAGTCTGGAAAACAAAAGTCACCTTTCACAGTATGATCCACTAAAGTAGGGACCAAAAAAGCCCCACAGCCATGTCCATCCCCAATAGCCTAATTCCCAGAACATTATCAATGCCCATTCTATCAAATTTCAATTTTTGAGTCTTAGATTCCAAGCAAGTCTTAACCATGGACCAATACATATAAAAAGAGAAAACCACCTCCACGCAAGAAATATTCTCAGTCATCCTCTAAAACAGAGAAAGAGAGAGAGGCCGTTGCATAAACACAGCCACAACCGTGGGCTGTTCTCAGTGTGCGCTAAATCCCTACAATTGAATGCAGACAAAAATCATTGCCTAGCTGTGTTTAATTTTTATACTTTTTAAATGGTATTGTGCCAAGAGCCGGGTCGATAAAAATTAAAGTTGAGCCCACTCTAACAATGGGTTCTGTAATTTCATCTGTGGGCTCCTTTTCTGAAGAACTGCATGCCCAAGTTTGATCTCTAAGTAATATCACAGTAATAATAATAATAATAATAATACTCCTCTGTCCACACCTCCTGCACCACCTTAATAGAAATCAGAACGGGTTCATTACCAGTCCTAATAGACAGCTTTGCCTATATCGTTCTCACTGGGGGCTGACAAGCCTCAGGCCAAAAGAAAGAGACAAAGAACAATGTAAGCGGGGTGGTATCTACTTTCTCCCATCTTTGCCCCTCTCTCTGGACAGACAACTGGTCTACTCCAAAGGACCAAGAAGAAAACATGAGCGGGCCCCCAGAGGAAAGGCTTCCCCAAGCTGTGATCTGCTGCCATGTGGGGAGTTACCGTGCCTGGGAACAGCTCTGATGACAGCAAGGCTACCCCACACCGCTCCCAGGATGTCCAAAACAATCCAAGTGATAATGATAAACTTCATATGTGAGGAGAGAGGGCCCTGCCTGACCCACGAGCCACCAGGCACATGAAAGACGCAATATAAATTTGATTTAAAAGTGGGCCGCCATCCAGAAGGCTCAATTATCTATCACATTGCCACGTTTCCATGATCCACGGCCTCTTCTGTCTCCGACTGAAGCACAGCTACAGTGCTTGTTTGAAACCGATTCAGGGGTAACTCTGAGCTAGCAGGATCACAGAAGGCTCACTTAAAGGGGGAACAACAGTTACATAAATAGAAGTCTTCCAGGCTTGAAAATATTTGGTTGTCTGCTAACTTTCAGGAATGCCGAAGCAAATTGAATCCATTCCTGAAATGTCCACACCTATACCACCTCGAGTGGTGCATCTCACAGCAGGGCTTCATCGATTTCATCCATGCTGTCTTTTCCGATGACTAGTTATTTTTCTTTGATGACAGGAGCAGCAAGTGACCCCCCAGTTCTTGATTTCTGAATGTTCTTAAATTGCCATTCTACAATCTGGCCTTGAATGCTTATTTGTTTTGGATAACTGAAAAGTGAAGTATTCCTAAGGGTGTTACAGTAGAGGAGGCCAGTGTCTAGTAAAACACACTGAGGTTTCAAGTCAGCGGTCTTGTCCAAGATGCCACCATCCATCCATTTCATTACTGAGAAAAAGTTGAGGCTTCACATGGTGAAAGTGAAAACAAGCAGCTGACAGGATGGAATTTTGGCTTTTAAAATAACTTGTGTTGAAGTGGTTCTTCCCCAATTTCGTACATGTATCAAGCGGTTCTAGTTACTGTCATCCCCCACCCTCCCCAGTCTCCCTCCTATTCCTATTATTCACACCCCCCCCCCCGAATAAGTCCCTTTCCATTTAAGTGAAGGCCTGACCAGACACCAGGGATCCACAGGTAATAATTCCAATGCAAATTCAGAATTGCCCAACATCCAGATAGGCATATGAATGGCTGAAATAAATGTGATAACCTCTCCTGCTAAAACTTCATGATGGTCACTAGAGATTGAATATCGCCTACATATTCTTTTGTTTCAGCTTGTAGAGCCAGCACTTGAACTTCACAGACTTGGGGGACTGAAGTCCCTGTCGGATATTCACTTTCCTATCAAATGCTCTATAACTTGGCAGCATTGCTGTCTTAGCTCCTAACAGACATCTCATTTTCTCTCTCCATTTACTTTTACTTTATCTGGGACTCAACTATTGAAGAAACACACACATACACACACACACACACACACACACACAGAGAGAGAGAGAGAGAGAGAGAGAGAGAGAGAGAGAGAGAGAGTGCTTTCTTCAAGTTTCACTCTAGCCTCCCTCCCCCCCCCCCCAAAATTAAGCTGTATCCTCCAGGATAAACGTGTGGCCATTCCAGATAACTTTTGGCTAATACCTAATCATGTCGAAGTAGAGGAAGCTTTGGGGGGAACCCTTGATTGTCAGGATAAAACAGCTGCCAAACCTGCCAGGCTAGCAGCCTCCTGCAGGCAGGTCCCAAGAAATCATTCCTCCTTGCAACCAGGGTTTTACATATAGAAGCTCTGTAAAAGCCTGTTGAATAAAGGAATTTTTCCCGAGCCCAATGTAAAGGGGGGGGGAGTAATCATTGCTTCACTTCCTCCTATAACAAGTGTCTTAATACCATTACTATCGAGTACATTAAAACCCTGGTTTGTTGAGAGTGGAATAGGATTGAAATGGGAAATAGAAGAGAGAAGGAATTTAAGAGAAGAATAAATGAATCTCAAACAGCCGCTGACGGGCTGGACAGATTTGTTCTGAGAATGTGCCCACCAAACTCATTTTGGATATCCATGTGTCAGGAAATATTTTTAAATTAAAATTAAAAAAAAACTTTCCCTGTCATACCAACACCTCTTTGAACCATGTAGCTCCCACCCTCTATAAAATCTTGATTCTGGCCAACAGCTGGCGAGTTGATCCCTGCAATTTTCTCTTCGCAAAAAAATAGCTATGTGCTAGGAGAACTGGCCCTCTCAGCTAATAAGCCCAAACCTCCCCAAACCTGGAGGGCTGAAATGGAAGGGATATTGTTGTGCCAAGTACTTCACAACAACTGTTTCTCCTCCTCTTGACACAGCCTGACTTCCTCACAGGAGATCTGACTGGCCAGACAGCTGTGTTGACCCTGGAGCGGTCTTTGATTCACGATTTTCTTTCTTTCTTTCTTTTTTTAACAAACAGAATAGAAAAATCACAACCCAAATCCTCCCCTAAGCTCCAATACTTTTGAATTCGCTAGTGTTGTGCCTGAAGGATGTGGACCTTTCTCTAATCTATAAGCAGAAAGATAAAGATTGGGCCCACACAATACCAAAACCTTGCCGTGAAAAGCGAGAGAGAGAGGCGAGCAGTCACCCGCCTTTGTCTGCTTGAAGTTGTGTAGACCAAATCCGCTTAATTACCTAAAAATCACACTTTTGACTCAGAATGGGGCTACACGCAGTAAAATAGCCAGCAGAGACAGAGGTCGTTTCTCCATTTCTTCCTTCAGAACTGTTTACCATAACACTCAGGGCGAGCTTTCGCTGCTTTGCAGATTTCTGTATTGTTCAATTCACATGAACTCAAGCATGTATCTTTTTTTTTAAGTTCTGAAAAAAAACGTAAAGCACTTCTGGAACAACAGAAAGGCCTAGTGTTCTCTCGGAATCAGGTAAAAGTCAAGCATTTTATGTATAGCAAAGGAATACTGAGTAGCGGAGAGGGGTGTTCTGGTGGTGGTGGTGGTGAAGGTATTTACTAGGTCTAACATGGTCAGTAAACCTGACAGCCCAGACGATACGGAAATAAGAAACCTCTGTTCTCCTCTGGGTTTTTGTTGTTGGAGGCAGACCTCTCCAGCACATCCTTTCCACAGGGCCTCTTAATGAAATTAAAGCAGCTTGCGTTTCAACCGACTGTCCTCTGACTCCCTCCACATGCTTGTCTTCTTTCCTGTGCTAGTGAAAAAGATTGCGCTTCCTCCGGGTACACACACATGCCCACACAGTCAACACATGCCAGCCCTAGTGCACAAAAAGGGGTAAGCGCTAAGCCCCTTTTCCTTCCTTCTAGCTCTCCACAATCCCACCAATCCAAAGTTCCTATGAATTGGCCCATTTTACAAGGAGAAGCAGTTTCCTCTCCTTACATCTCAGGGCTCCTTCGGAACTCTCCTTTGAGAACATCCTACCACCACGCGCCCTGAGGCATTTCAGAAATCCAAATTGGAAATGAACCGCTGTCTCCGTTACCCGCCTCCCAGTTCTGCATGATGATGGGGAGAGAATAAAACCTGCTGCCTGTCAGACAACCTCCTTAGGTTAGAACTGGGTGGAGCCACCGTAGGGGGCTTTAGGACAGGCCCCCTCTGACCTAGCAACGTTTCGGACAGCCCCGGAGTTGCAACACCTGAAGGCTTCCGTAGAAACCCTTTTGGGGGAGGGACTGGAAATGCAAAGCGGCCACAAGAAGTAGGAAAGCCACTTCCAAACCGGGCGAGAAATATGCCCAAGGGACAGAAACCGTCTGATCCATACCGCCTGACCGCTGAGCACAGATCCAAGAGAGGCGCAAACACTTGAGTGAGATGGAATGGAAAAGGTCGCCGGTCATTCATTGGTGATCCGGCCGGGCTCTCCGGTGAACCCAGGACTAAGCTTGAATTTTTCCCAGGCCCACAGAAAGTGATCTCTGGGAATGGCCGGGCCTGGGGTTAAGGAACTTAGAATAATTTAAAAGGAAGTAAGAACGCGATCAAAATGAAATGACGCAGCGCGGCTCTCCCGGGCCCAGCCTGCATACACAGACGGAATCCCCGCAGCCCCGGGCATGTACCCAACGCTGGTACGAGTGAGATTTACTGGTCTTGCCTGAGGGTGTCTCTTAAACCCGAAAGGCGAAGAGGGTGCAGGAGGACTCAGTCCCCAGAGTACACTGGCGCGGGTGGCGGGTGAGTGGGCGACGCAAGCACTTACTTCTCGTAGTGGTACTTGCAGTAAAGCTTCTTGTCCCGGTAGAAGCAGGTGGTCTCCAGGGGTTCTTTGCAGGAGGCGCACTGCACGCACTGTTCATGCCAGAAGCTGTCGTTGAGCCGCAACAGAAACCTGTCCGAGATGACCCGCTGACAGCCTTCGCAGACAGACTTGGGACTCACCGCTCTGCCTACAGCAGCAACAGACGTTTGCCCATGAGCCACACACGCAAGTCAACCCCGCAAAACACTATCGGGATCGGATCAGGACCACAGATTTACCCCTTCCCCCACCCCAGGCCATGCATTCCCCCCCCCAGGAAGATCCCCTGATGATTTTGATTTTAAAAAAATCAAACCAAGTGGCAACCAAGTGATTAATAAACAAAGACTAAGTAGCAAGGTTATAAATTCTACCGAGGAAGGGGGCTGAAGTCAATAAATAGTCTTAATTGTTAGATAGACCCAAGTATCATTGCGAGCATTCACACAGCCTGTAAAATTAGATTACAAATAAATTTGTGTTCCCAGGACTCTCAAGTCGTCGTTAATCAATCATTAAATCACTATGTGTGTGTGTGTCCTTTGACTGCTTTTAAATTATCAGTAATAATTTGCTTGAAACTGCATTCTATTTTTAAAAGGGAACTAACATTTTCTGTTTTCTTCACACACACACACTCAAATTGTGGGTGCAGAAAATACCATCTCAAACTCAGTACTGTTCATACTAGTGAATCCCTCCTACGTCTTGGTTGGCGTGCAAATTGCGGGTGACTTTTTTATAATTAGAAAATGTCAAGGTGGGGAAAAACAATAGCTGAGCGCAGAGACCCTGCGAAGGGTGCGGGTCAGAGCCCTTTGCTCAGAAGCGCAGCGAGAAGCGACAAACCTCTTAGCCCAATCACAGAATCTTCTCAGCCCTACCCCTTGACCTTTTCCACCTTTTCCCTCCAGACCTTGTTCTAGAGGGGACCGGCTTCCTCTCCTTCCCCTTAACACACTCGGGACAGAGGGAAGAATACTCGGCTGCCTTTGTTGACACTTTTCACAACCATTTAAAGAAGCCCTGTGCTGCTGTCACAAGAACACTCTTGTCCGTGATGTCCCAAAGGACTGGTCCTTCTCCATAAGGCAACTACACTAATCTCACTTTCTGCCTTGGGGAACAGTTGCTAGCTTGTAAACCGAACAAGTCGTTTAGTGGAGAAGGAAGATAGCAAGAATGACTGGAGAAAGCACCCCGGTCCTTCTCAACTATGAATTTCTGTTTTCTTGGTCTCAGCACCCCAGGCCATCATCCTGGTGTTAGAGCAAACCTGGGTCGTAAGGCGCCCGGAACTAAACCCGAAGCCCCTAAGTCGGCACACAGCTCTGGCCTGCATCTTCTTGCTCGAGGGAGAGGATCCTGGCATTTTCAAAAGGGGGTTGAAGGAAGGGCACAGGGGCTTCGTGATTTCGATTCCTCTGGACTGTTAAGGTGGGGTGGGTTGGTGGTGTCTCTCGGGATGTGTTTTCTACAGATCGAAATTTGTCAACCCATTCTATTGGTTCTAGAGTTAGGGAAAGAGGCAAGAGTTTTAAATGACGAAAAATCTCTCCTGCGGAAAGAGAAGGGAAGAAAGAAAAGAAGGAAGAGGGAATGGAAACACCTTTCCCCCAAACTTGAAAACCCCAAAACCAAAATTGGGGAGACACTGTCAAAACAAGAATTGCTGGTCTGAGCTTGGGAAGACCCTTTGGGACTCCTTGATCTTCTCCTCTGCTGTGACTGGGTTGGGGGTAGGGGGGATACCGGGCTTGCGGAACTGGGATCCGGCTTCAGTTAATTAAAGACCAGGCAAGGGCCCCGCGCCGCCGCCGAGCAAGCTAATCCCAGAGCAGCACTGCCCACCAGCCCGGAAAAGCCCCTGGGCTATGACCAATACTAAAATTGGGGCTGTACTTTGGTGGGAGAAGAGAAGAACTTGGGCGCTCCTGGGCCTTGGACCTCTGCTACCCAGTGTTCCGTCATAGGCCTCTGAAAAACCGGTGGCATTTATGAGCCGTCGATCAGTTCCATGATTAAAAATCCAGTCCTGAGTATTATTAATCACTTGCCACTCAAACGCCTGTGAACATGCTCGCCCGCCCCTCAAGGCTTTGGGGAATTCAGTGTCGAGCTCCTGAGGCCTGAGGAGGCTTGCTGGTTGTATGGTAGGGAGGACTCAAAAGGACTGATGGACACGGAAGACAGAGAGTGGGCGCCTCTACGTGCACGAAGAGGGTGCTAGCCTGATTGCCTAATCTGGTACCAGCGAGCTGATGTCCTGAGCTCCCACCCAGCCTGGCGGCAAGAGGATGCATCAGGGTAAATGGAGTTGAACACTCACCCAGCAAAGAGGAGAAGGAGGCCGAAGTCTCGATCGCACTTTGAAAGTTCTCCTCCATCTTCAGGCCGTCCAACATGTTCGGGCTGAGCCTGGAGGACCTGGAGAGCCGGGAAAGGGATACGTCTAGCTTCCGTGCCTTCTGGGACTCCGCTCCCTCAGTTGCCACACTCCTGGGAAAGGACAGAAGGAGTGTCCAGGGCGACAAGAATGAGCCTGGAGGGTAGAGTCCAGCCAAGGGAAACGTGGGGTGGGAGGAGAAGAGCCACCGTGAACTACGCTGACGGATCTGATTTCACTTGAAGTCAACGCGTTATGTACTTAGGCCTCCGCCCCCTAACTGCATTCTCCTAACCCCCACCCCCACCCCTGTCCCCAGGTTTCCCATTCCAAGCCCGACTCCGCCCCATCCTATACTAATGTGGCCCCTGGGGACCCCTCTACAGGAACTATGCTACTGCGTGTGGGGTGGGGGTGAACCTCCTCTCAGAGTCAGGACCAAGCACGCGGGACAGTCCGGGTCCGACACCCGGTGACCCAGCCACTCAGTTTCGACCCTCACCTGTCTTGGGTTGGAGAGAGGCAAAGTAAGGGACAGGGAGACCGTTTCGCCTGCTTCGGTACTCCTGGCGCTGCGCTCTGCTTGGGGGCGCTCGGGAGTGGGCGTGCGGGGCGCGCGGGGAGGTGCTCCCGCCGGTCGGCCAGTGCCGGGAACGCCTGCAGGAGCAAAGAAGTCGCCTCAGGGAGGAGCCGCGACTGGCCCGGCTCACTCTTGGATGCATTTCAAATCAACTTTCTGCAACACGCCCGCCCGAGCCGAAGCCTAAGAAGCCCCGCAGCCTTCCCTACCTGATGAGCAAGCTCGCCCCCAGAGTCCGGAGCGGCGCGAAGTGCCCGAGAGGCGCGGGCAGCTTGGGCGAAGGACGGCGGGGTCCCCGAAGCTGCAGCCGGAGCAGCCGTCCCGACTCCGGTGCGCCCCGGACAGAGCGGGAGCGAACGGCGGCCCCCGGTTCTGCTCCTCGGCGCGCCGGAGCCGGGCCGGGCCGTGGCCACGAGCCGCCTGCCTTTCCGGGACGTCCCGCCAAGCCCGCTCCGCTCTGCAGGCGGGAAGGGGAGGCCCGGACTGCTTCTTTAAGGCCGGCAAAGAAATCCGAGGCCCGGGGTCCTGGGTGCAAAGTCGGCCCTGCTTCTCTGAGGCGGCTCCGGCGACTTCTGACAGCGGCCGCTGGCTGCGTGCGCGGCCCGGGAAGGGGGTGGGGTGCGCAGGGCGGGGGCCTGGGAGCGCGTCCCGTGGCGGAGCCCGCGGTGCTCGCTTTCCCGACTTGGCTGCACGGCCCACCGCGAGGCTGCAGCTCGGTGCTCCGGTCTGCTATCTGGACGTCCCGGGCACGCAAACTTTCCCTTCTATCCACGTGGAACTGTTGCCTGGGGGAGCTGCGCCCGAGCTTCGGCTGAGATCCTTGCCACCTAGACTGCGTGCGCGGGCGGGCTAGGGATCCGGTTGCTCTCGGATCTGCACCGTAAGTGATGACTAACCTCCCGCTGTCCTCACCTGGAGGCCGCGGGAAGCGCCTAAGGCTGTTTGCCGCTTTGTGAGCGCCTGCAGCAGAAGCTCCAAGCCCCTCAGACCTTCATTCACCCACTGGCTCCCGCGACTTACAACTTTGTTTAGGCTTAAAACTCGTTTCGCGGTTTCTTACTGAAATCCCTTCACTGCTGGAAAATGCAATAGTGAGACCCATGGCCAAACCTTAAATCAGGCTCGCTCTATCCCATCCGGCCGGCTCGACACTAGGCTAGAAGTCAGCCAACGGGACTTTTCCTAGAAAAGAAGTTCCAGGGGGTACTTTTTAATTCTCTATAACTCATAATGTTCGATTGCAGTGACAGCCTGCAGCCTCTCCAGAGTCAGGAAAAGGGTCTTGCTCCTCTATTCCAAGAAGAGCCTGGGGCCAACTGATTCAGTAAACTCATCATTGCCCCGGCTAACGTTTATCGACCACTAATTTTGTGCCAATCTTGGTTCCATAGTCAACTCATCTAATCGTTACAATTTTAAGGTGGGGACAAATATGGTCTCAATGTTCTCGTTGCCTTAAGGAAACCGGCACCTATGCACATGAATTTCCAATCCGGCTTCTGAAGACCTTTGAAAGGTTTAATTTATGGAATTCCCTGGGGCACCCTCACCTCTACACCGAGAGAAGCACAGCGTGAGAGTTATCCCGCTCTGTAAGTGTGGTCAGCCCAAGCAAAGATTCCCTAGTACCTTCCCTAGAAAAAGATCTCTTCCTGAACTTAAACCAGACAAGCACCACTGTGCTTAAGAGCACACACACACACACACACACACACACACACACACTACCACCACCACCATCCTCAGTGTTTTCTAGCAAATCAAGCACAAGCCAAACACAGAATATGCCTTCAGAGAGACAAAGGGAAAGGGCAAAGCATTTAATACCTTATATTAGAATGCGACTTTAAACTTTTTTAGGGTTACTTCTATATACATGGTTTTGCTTGATCTCTACAACAAACCTGTGAGGTAGGGCAGAACAAATAGTTTTATCTATTATTCTAGACAAATCTTCAGGGCTTAGTACAGCGAGGGGATTTCTCTACTGCTGCCCAGGTGGCTAGTGGCATGTTTCCTAACACCTGACCTTTGTCCTGTCTGTCATCCAGATAGAACAGGATATGAAAAAAAAAGGGTAAATTACATATATTCTGGGGATAATATATAAGATAGAAATTTGTTCAGAAGAAAAGAGTAGAACAAATCCACCCACAAAAAAAATATTTTAAGTGCACAGTTGAGTTTTTGTTTAACTGAAAGTCTTGAGTTTATGAAACGTATTTAACTGGTGGGGTAAGCCAGAAAACAAAAAGTTTGTCATTTGATCTGAGCCTTCCTGGTGGTTCTGGCGTCAGGGAGAAAGCCTGATTAGTGTAAAACACAAAAGTTTGTGGTATGAATGTCTTCCTCCCACCCAACTGAACTGTGTCTCACAATCCCATTGTAAGCTCTACTGCTCTTAATGCAGACCCAGGGCACATAGATGCGATTAACAAATAATGTTTGCTTGGCTGAGGGATGAGTGGACCCCTTGCTGTAGCCTGAAGCCTGTAGGGAAGGGTCGGTAAGCAGAAGGTCTCAGTCCTTAGTGACTTTAGTCAACTTTTTTTTTATACACATACACAATATATTTCTATCTTATTCATCCTTATTTCCCTCACCCAACTCCTCCCATACCTCCCCATCGCATCTTCTTGTGTACTTTTCTTTTGGGTCTTTACTACATCCCACTGAGCCTAACTAATGCTGTCGGTATGTGGACGGGTGTGGGACCATCCACAGGGGCGTGGGAAACCTACCAGTGGCTACACTCCCAGAGGAAGAAATAATTCTCCCTTTCCAAGTTGTCATCAACGGCCGTAATTCCTCACACTTGAGTTTTGACTGGCCCGATCTTGTGTGGGTCTTGTGCAGGTAACACAGTGGCTGTCCATTCCTGAGAGTAATGGGCATGTCATCCACAGAAGACAGGATTTCACAGTTCTCCACACCTGCCAGCTCGTACCTTTCCACCTCTTCTTCCATGGTCCATTTTACTCCCTGAGCCTTGAGGACTGGGGGTTGATAGAGATGTCTCACATGGGGCTGAGCATCCACAGTGATGCAGCTGTATTCCTAACACTTGAGACAGTTGAGAGTCTCTACAATTATGACTGCCCACTGTGAACCTTACCTAACCAAGGGTGATGGCAGCATGGACCTAGGACTATAAACACAAATACTCAGATGGCAGTTTAGCCACACGACTATTTAGCAGCAGTATATTAGTAGGTTTCCTTCAAGGGCCTATGACCTCCACAGCCATGGACTCTTGACCAGGGAGGTTTACAGTATCAGGCATGAATTCCCTCCTGTGGAATAGGCTTCAGATCCAATCAGAAGGAAGCTGGCTACCCTGGTAACACCCATGTTGCAGCAGTGGGCACATCTGGCCTGGCAGGTCAGTATTCCATGTATAGGTGTTCTCCTTTTCTCACATCATGTCAGCAGCCTTTGCTCTCATTGCTGTTCTCTATGACAGCCACCTGACTGGCGTGAGATGGAACATACTTAAAAGCATTTTGATCTGCATCTCTCAAATGGCTGCTGTTGCTGAACACCTTTTAAGTGTTTCCTGGACACGCGTACTTCTTTTGAGAATTCTGTTTAGTTCTGTAAACACATAGTCTTAAAGATTTTTTTTAAAGTTTAGGTGTGTCTCTCTGTCTGACAGTCTATCAGTGCCTGGAGGGCGGAAGAGGAGTCAAATGCCTTGGAACCAGAGTCACAGTGCTTGTGAGCTGCCTGGTGTGGGTGCTGGGAACCAAACTCAGATTTTCTAGAAGAGTGGCAATTGCTCTTAACCACCAAGCTGCCTCTCTAGTTTCTGTAACACATTATAAAAGTTGAATTGCTTTCTTGACGTTTTTTTTTTTGGTTTGTTGTATGTTCTAGATACTAATCCTCTGATTCATAGGTGGCAAAGATTTTTCTCCCATCTGGTGAATTACCTTGCCACTAGATTGACAGCTTCTTGTGCTGTATGGTAGCTTTTTTATTTCATGAAATCCTATGCCAGTTGTTCCATCTACTTCCTGTGCTGTTGGAGTCCTATTTAGAAAGTCTCTTTTTTTTTTCAGTTCACACTCAAGATTAAAAATTCCCCCCCAAAAAAACCCCACAAAAATTGACCTGTAAGGTAACAATATATTACTTAATATATTATAGTATACTTAATACAGTATCCATTTTAATATTATGATAAGGAAAATGAAGTAGATGACCCAATATATATAATAATATAAAATCTTATTTCAGTAAATAAAGGGCCCACTGGTTGGGGGGGAGGGGGATTTGACAACAGCTTTGGCTATTTGCTGCAGGATTCTCCCTATATATAGAAAGGCTCTACCTATGTTTTTATGAAGTGGATTCCCTGCTGTTTCATCCAGCAGTTTCAGAGTATCAGGTCTTATGGTGAGGTCCTAATCCTTTTTCAACTGGGTGGTGAAGATAGGGATCGAGTTTCGTTCTTCTGCATGTTGCTATCCA